ACATGGTGTTAAATTGCAATAGAAGTTGAAGAGCAACTGATCATTTTCTTGCTCTATACACAAATACAGATGTTTTGCTTGGAAATCAGCCCATTAAAAAACCAATTATGTGCAAGCTAGCAAACAATGGAGCTATGTTAACATAAGACTAGATGGAGGCAAAAAACACAGCATGGTTATTCTTTGCATAACAAATGTAACCAAGCCAGCACCTAATCTATGTATCAGGCTTATCTAATAAATACCTAGAATCCATGGTAGGTCCCTACTGGTTCGGACCAGTTCAGCCGAACCAGTAATGGTTTGACGGACTGGGTCGCTGAAACTGGTAGTGACCCAGGCCTGCCATGCCCCCAAACCGGTTCTCCGGGCGGCGGCGCCATCTTGTTTTTTGGTTCTGTGCATGCACAGAACAATTTTATTGCTCTGTGCATGTGCGCTCACTGTTCATCAAGCGCGTGCAGCGCATCCACAAGCAAACCAGCAGTAGAGACTGCCAGAATCCACCTCTTCCTAGAAGATATTGCTAAGCAATGTTTGGACCGCAAACTGACTAGATGCAATAAAGGGAAGAATCAGATCTTGTTGTTAGATCATTTGTACCACTGATGGACAGTTACCGTATTTTTCAGAGTATAAGATGCACCCTTTTCCCTCAAAAAAGAGGCTGAAAAACCTGGTGCGTCTTATACACTGAATACAGCATTTTTGCCTCCCAAAACTCCACCCCTTCACCAAAATGGCAGTGCATAGCTTTTAGAAGGCTTTCAGAGAGCTCCTGGGGGCTGGGGAGGGTAGAAATGAGCAAACAATGGCCTGTTTCCCCCCGCCCCCCAGCCCCCAGCAGCACTCTATAAGCTTCCTAAAGGCTATCCATGCCCTTTTTTAATGAAAAATGGACCATTTTTTGCTTATTTTTGCCCCCACCCCGCCCCCAGGAGCACTCTATAAGCTTCCTAAGGGCTATTCATGCCCTTTTAAAAAACGGGCTTGTTTTCACCAAAAAATGGCCCCTTCTTGGGAGGTTTGCAGAGTGCAAAAACTTTTTTTTAAATTTTCCTCTTCAAAACTTTACTGCGTCTTATATTCTGGTGCATCTTACATGCCAAAAAATATGGTATTTAAAGGGCATCATTTCTAATGTATTCTAATCAGAGGTGGGATTCACTTACTGTTACTACTAGTTTGCCCTGCACCAGCAATTTGCTCATGCACGCCATCTGCGCATGCGTATGATATCACAAAACACGGCAATTCGCTTTCATGCACCATCTGCATATGCGTATAACATCAAAAATATAGTGATACAGGACTGGATTGCACCCGGGCAGTTGCCACCGATTCGCTGAACCAGTTTGGACTGGCTGAATACCACCTCTGATTCTATGTATGGCTGTGGGAGTTGGACCATAACGAAGGCTGAGCATCGAAGAATTGATGTTTTTGAATTGAAGGCTTTTGAGAGTCCCTTGAACTGCAAGGAGGTCAAACCCAGGCTGAGTGAGCTGGCAAAGCTCCAGGCAGCTCAACAAAGACACAAGGTGGGGAGTGGAAGGCAGCAGCCCCTGGATACCTGACTGGCAGCCTAAACTATTTTAAAAATATATTTTTTAGGGTTCTTTACACTGTTTAGATTTTTTTTTAAAGGATGAGAAACTTTCTATCAAGGCAAAGAAAGTCCCCCACCCCACCCCGCTGTCCACAGCAGTGGTGGAATACAACCGGTATGCCCCGGTACAGGCATACCGGTGCCTGCTGGGAGCACCTGATACCATTCCGGTATGGTGCTCTGGAGGGCCTGCCTGCCCTCCTTACCTGTATTTCAGCCAATCGGGGCTTTCGTGCACGTGAATGGAACTTACGGCCGCCGAACAGCTGGAGCATCACGGGCAGTAAGTATGCATGCGTGCATGCTTGCGCATGTACGTGGTGGATGCTGGGCCCCCATTGCAGCATACCGGTTGCAACGGGATCTGGAACCCACCATTGGTCCACAGCCTGTCCAATGCCAGAGAAGGAATTTGAGCACTTCAGGAATCTGTGCTGGTATGACTGCATCCAATGGGAAAGCAGAGACTCATCCTTCATCATGAAGATTGATTGCTGGGATGTGCAACAAATTGCCCCACTCTGCAAATTGGTGGGTAATAAGTGTCCCTCAGCAAATTGCCCAGGATGAGGGGGTAGGGGAGGACCAGTGGTGGGCCAGTGGTGTGAGAGAAACACCAGCAGAGAATCAGTCAAGGATGAACACCCACAGTGGGTCAGTCGTGGCAGGGGAGTGGAGTGAAGTGGTCATGGCCATGTGGCTGCAGTCAATTATCCTAGGTATGGATGGGTGGGTGGACAGACAGACAGACAGACAGACGAGCCATAATTGCTGCAGTGTTTAGAATGCAGTGTTGCAGGCTAGTTCTACCAACTGCCAGCAGTTCGATCCTGACCGGCTCAAGATTGACTCAGTCTTCCATAATTTTGAGGTTGGTAAAAAGAGAACCCAGATTGTTTGGGACAATATGCTGACTCTGTAAACTGCTTAGAGAGGGCTGTAAAGTGTGCTGAATAGTAATATAAATCTTATTGCTATTCCTATTCCTATTGCTAGGCAGACAAACAGGCAGATAGATAATTAAAATGCAATTTTACAATACTCTGAATTCTGTTAGCATGCATCAGTAGGAAAACCAACAGATATGCCTCCTGAAAGTTATTGTGGATAGATAGCTGCACATCTATTGGATTTCTGACTGCATAAATATTGGAACTGTTGGGAATAATAACATTTAGGTCAATATTTGGCAGCTCTCCATCAAGTTACTTCCAGGGGGAAAAATACTTTAATTTATATTAATTTCTCAGGAATTATGGTAACTAAAAAGCATGGGATGTGATCAAGCATAAAATACAATTTACTGTTGAACCTTCATAACACTGACACGATCACAATATGCTATGACAAATATTCTTGCAGTTAATGTAATGAAGCAAAGTAATGGGGATTAAAATGGAATCAAAAGCATATTCCGCAAATATCATTCCTTTGTGTTCAATTAATTCTAATGATTCTGGACAACTACATTAAACTACATTTAATGGAAACTGATTGCAAGAGAAAATAAAATCTGATTGGTCTCTTTGTCAACATTTTCATTACAATAGCAGGCATAATTGTTCAGCTGTACCGTTATATCATAATCAGATCAGCCACAAATTGGCATTATGGAAAATTCTACTTTTAAACCTCTTACTACAGATGAAAGGAGCACCTGTTTCGGTGTCACAAAATCATTTAAATGGTCCATATGGACTTTTCTCTTTTAGCTCTGCTCACCCACATATAATCCTTGAGTTCAATTGTGCAGCTAAATCCTACAAGCCTTTCACATTGAAACAGATGGGTGCGGCAGCAAACAAAGCAACTAAGTCAAAACTCCCGAAGGAGATTTGGAGTACTCTTTCTTGAATGGATGTTCTTTATATTACATGGCAAAATGAGTGCAAAGTAGAAAATAGGCAAAGGTGGAAAACTCATTATGTCTGTAAGGAGGCTTTTCTCCCAGGGAACAAATAGGACATACTTCCTTGGTAACCTCAGGGAGAAGTCGGGAAAAAAGCAACCCTCCTATCATTGAGAATTTCATGAAGTTCCCCCTGCCCAATAATTTTGGAGATGCCTAGAACGAATTTTAGAGACCCAGTTTCGTGTAGTGGTTAAGGCATCAGACTAGAAACCAGGAGACTTGTGCATTCTATTCCCACCTTAGGCACAAAGCCAGCGGAGATGACCTTTGACCAATCATTGTTTCTCAACCCTAGGAAGGAGGCAGTGGCAAACCACTTCTGAAATCATGCTAAGAAAACTTCAGGGATCTGTCTCTGCAGATGCCAATATCAATACTGACTCAAAGGCACACCACGCACGCACACACAGGGGAAGGGTGGAACAGACACACAGAAAGAAAGAGACACAGAGAGAGAGAGACAAAGAGAGAGAGAGAGAGAGGCAGAGGCAGACAGAGAGACAGAGACAGAGAGACAAAATTCTGGCTGCAAGCAAAATACTAACCATTGTGTCAGGCCTGCAGTGGTTCCTGCACTGGATATCTGCATGATATTTGGAACGCTGACACATTGCTTGAAGGAGCAACATACAATAATGTTCTTTGTAACTACAACTGTTTCCAAAATGTTTCTACTAAGGGAAACTGAAGAAGCTACAAGTTATGGATACCATTCCTTCATTGCAGCAATTACTACACAAGAACCAGAACAGCTGACAAATCACCGCTCTGTTGTATTTGTGAATTCTAATCCTTCCCCTGGGACTACACCGCTTTTTACTAGAAACATTATGGTTCCTCTTTCCTGTCCAAGGGAAAGAAACTAATCCTTTGTGTGACCTATTTCAGAGAGGAGTGTGCTGCCAAAGACTTGCTCCATCCTACCAAAGCTCCATGACTATAGTTTTATATGTTTATTCATATCAGAAGCCTCATGATTACAATTTTATGCATAGGTATAAGTACTAATTAAAAAAATTAAATGAATAAACCTCTAATTTAGGTGCTGCTTTCCCAGAAGCATGCAACATTGATTGCATTCTGTTAGAGTATCATAAGGTTCTCAAGATTACATTGTGAGGTTGCCTGCAGATCAGAGGTGGGTTCCTACCAGTTCGCACCTATTCGGTAGAACCGGTTCGTCAAATCTACTGAACCGGTTAGAAGAGGTTCCACCAGTGGACCCGGAAAGCAGGCCACACCTACAGAAGANATCTCATAAAGTTAATAGCAACAAAGGTAGCTATAAACGGAATTATGTTACATAAATAGTATCTAATTTTTTGCAGCAGCAGAATGTAAAAGTAACTACCTTGGGTTTGTTTTTTTTTAAAACCTATGTTGTGACCAGCTTCAATTATGGAAATTACACTATTGTCCTATTTTTTATTTTCTCTTAAAAAGTGACATAACAAATGAATAACAAATAGGCTGACTTACCCCATCTACATAATTAATCAATTCAACTGTTTCCTTCTGCACAGCTTCAATAGTTCTTTTGATTAAATACTGAAACAATTAAAGAAAGAAGACATTCTAATCAGGAAAGGCAATTAGGAAATTAAAATAAAAAAAATCCCATAGCAACGTTGGTCCACCAAAAAAATCCAAATTCTAAAATTAGGTAATACGGTACTTTCATATGGACCAACCAATTTAACACAAGTATCATTAAATTAAGGCCATTAGTCATCAATTTATCTCTTGCCTAGAGTGAAACTCAACTTTTTGTCCTGACAGAAATAAAAACTTATTACTGTGTTCATATCAGCAATGGAGCGACAGAGAAATTCTGGATATAATACCAGGAAGCCAAAGATATTTTGGCTGAGAGAAATTACCCTGTTCTTATCAACAACCATATAGAGTTCGACGTATCGTTTCTCTGGCAGCACATTTCTTCTTTTCTGTAAAATTGAAAATAGAACCCCATTACATAGCTGTTTTATTTGGAATTAGCTCAAAATTATAGTTCAAAAATTAAGTAAAAAGTTAACACCAGGCATTTGAAGCCAATTCATGAGATGAACTGTTGTTGTCTGAAAATAACCAATTTCATTTAGATTGATCAAACAATTATTTTCAAAAATCAAATCAAATCAAACTCCCTTGTTGGCTTCTAGTATTTCAACTCAAACTGGATTTGGGATCAAACTATGAGGCCGCAGTAAATTTTCCCTTTTTCCCCCCAGAGAATTATCTCAATTTGACTTCAGGTCTAGTAACTCAAGATGCAGAATTTTAAAATTATTATTTTAAAATTATTATTTTATCTTTGTTCCCCACCCCCTTTCCAAGCATTATTTAATTTCAGAAATAAATAACATGAGGAGAGAAATGTCCTTGTAAATAATAATTTGTTAAATTTGTTAAAAGCAAAAGAGCTGTGGCTAAAATCAAAAATACATAGATTAAAGCATGCAATATTTGAAAAATATGATAAAAATATATTTACCCTTCGATGTGTATCCTTACTGAAAGGATAATGTGATATATTAGAGTATTTCAAAATAGGTTCATGATATTGGTCATCATTTTGTACACCACAGGAAAAAGGTTCATGAGATTTATCTAATACATAAAGAAAGTGTTCAAATTTATTTGATCCTTTAACTGGCTCCATGCCATATTGCTTGTCACCAATATAGAGGATTCCCCTAAAAAGAACAAGAAAAGTTATTTAATCAAAGGCCAGCTATCTAAACAAAAATAACTCTAAATAAGTACTACAATATAATATGTAGCAATATCACAGTACAAATCTACTAGTTTCTCAATAAGGAAATATGTCTTTAGTCCTCGATTTACAACCACAGTTGAGCCCAGAATTTACGTTGCTGTAAGAAATTTATTAAATGAGCTTTGTCCCATTTTATGACTTTTGTTGCCACATTTGTTAAGTGAATCACTGCAGTTCAGAGGTGGGTTCCTACCAGTTCGCACCTATTCGGTAGAACCGGTTCGTCAAATCTACCGAACCAGTTAGAAGAGGTTCCACCGGTGGACCCGGA